TCAGATGTGTCACCTCCGTCAGTTCTGTCACCTCCGTCAGATGTGTCAACTCCGTCAGTCCTGTCACCTCTACGTCAGATGTGTCACCTCCGTCAGTTGAATTTTTTGATAATGTTTCATTATGATATTTTATATTTGTTGTGGAACTGTCGGTCACATGTGAAAGTGTAATCTGTCTGCTAACACGAGAATGTGTTTTGAAATGTTAAAAACATCTTGAATGCTGTTAAAGATAAAGCTGAAATTATATTACACAGTCCAAGGTAAAAAAGCACATTTTGTTAAAAAAGAGAAAAGTTGGGAGGTTGTATCAAAGCATAGCTCAGTAGCTTAGTACATATAAGATACATAAATGTAGTTTCGTTTATCTGAGTACAAGGTTTTATTTTTTCAATTTTGCACCCTGTTTTGTCCCACTTCTCAAGAATGACTGTTCGTTTATTCACTGAAGTCTTCGCACTGGCAACTCAAGATGTTTAACAGCTCGAATGCGACCTGCGTTGATGTTTGCCTCAACAATCTCTGCAGCAGCTGTCTGATGATTTCTGGTGAATAGCCACCGGGGGCCGCCATAGGCCTTCCTCTGCTCGTCGGGAAGCGCTCGCGGAGGTGTGAGGGGCTTCGACAGAGGGCCGTGACGTCATCGGGCAGCTCTGGGGTCTGGGCTGCGCGTCTCTGGATGAAACTCAGTGGCGCAGCAGCAGGATTTTTACCACACTCTACCACACTCACTGACAGCACTTCACCTGCCTTCACCTGCTGGACTTTAAACGCTGCTATGAATCTGTGCGCTGTTCTGCTGTTTCTCCTCGCCAGGGTCTGTGCGGAAAGTCTGGAGGGGCCAACAGGTAAGACGAGTGTTTGAGAGACTTTGATTACTCGGAGCCATACGGTCCAGATCAGTCCTCTCACACACAATCTGTCCCGGGAATAACAGGACAGGCAAAGCAGATTTAGGATGGAGCTACTCTGATCTGACGTGCATGATGTGGAAAGTTGAAATAAGTTTTCATAGACATTTCATTGGCATTTAATCAGAGATCGTTTGCGCTTCGAGTGATTTTTATATGGATCTTAATCTCTCTCGTATGAGAAATCTTAAATTCAGATAATCACGCGAAGACTGATGTGAAATTATGACAGATATGTGTAGCCTATGGGTAAGTGTTTCGATGGCGTTAGAAGTTCAAATGAACTTAAATATCAACTTGGCGCTATATTTCATAAATGCACAACAAATCAGCCAATACATGGTTAATAAATGCTTTTTAATTTAATCCAGAATGTAAACTGTTATCATTTAGGATACTCGCCCTCATGCTGTCCCAAAACCTAATGCCTTTCTTCTGTGGACCGCAAAAGGAGATGTCAGGCAGTTTGAGAGACTCAGGCACTATTCATTTTCATCGTATAGATACACATCTGCAATGCAAGTGAATGGTGACTGAGACTGTCAGCCACTAACATTCTGCCTAACATCTTCTTTGCTTACTCTGGGGAAGGAGGCATTGAACAACATCAAAATGGAAACATAATAAATTAAATAGAATAAAGCTAAAAAAAACAAAAGTAATTAGAAAATAGAAATATAGGCTATGGTGATTATAAGTTATAAATTCATGTCTGTTATAGATCCAATAGTATTTCACTTTAGTCGAGACTCAGTGAGTAAAGGAATATTTAGAGGTATAGGCTATGCCCTGAGGATCGGCTTCTGTCAGACTCCTCTATATCACCTCCGTATTTACATATTTACGCTTGTTTAAAGTCTCTTGCTATCGCTTTCACGTCATCAAATAGCATTGCTGTGGCTTTGCTTGTCAGGTCGTGTGTTGGTTTGAGGGAGGGTTTCCGAGCTCCTGCATCGGTTTCAATGCTGTACCCAGCAAATAAATGTGTGAAATGTGCAAAAATCCGTCCATCCATTGATTCTTCAAACCGCTTGCAGGATCATGGGGATGCTGGAGCTTATCCCAGCATCTTGGGCCATAGTTAATGAATACACGTAATAAAATACAGTTATACATTTAACTGAACTTATCTGAACCTAACAAATGATTTCTGTTGGTTTAACCTAATGTTCCAATTCAGACATTATGTGTTTGAAAAAACCCCAACAACGACTGATTCTAGATGTCACCACATTTTAGCTTACGGGACAAAATGCATTTTTAAGTGCATACTGTGCAGTTTTTGTTGTTTACTATCTATATAATTCTGCTCTGTCTATTTGGTGGCATTTCTATTTTGTCAGAGTACATGTTGGGCTGTTTGCTGATGGATTTCGGGAAGCTTACTGCATGTGTTGTGATGTTCAAGTCGGTTTTCCTGTCTTTGAAGCATCCTTCATACTGTCAGATTACGGCATCACACACAGTGGGGTGTGTGGGAGGTAATGAGACCTGAGTGCAAGTTCACTTCACTGACACACTGACGGTGTGTGTGTGTGTGTGTGTGTGTGTGTGTGGCTGCGATCGGGGCCGAGGAAGGTTACCTTGCACAATTGGTGGCTGACTAAATACTTTTTTTCCCCACTATATATATATATATAAAATCAGTGTTTACAATGTTCTAATAAAATATCTTTTAACATCAATTTTCTCGGACCCAGAATATAAGATAAATTTTTATTTATAGCAAATTGAAAGAATAAAATCATGTGATAAATGCTTTGTTTAGCGTCAAGAGTCTGTCTTTTTTGGTTCTAGTTGCCATTTTAGTTTCCCACCAGTTTGGCTGTGCTCTTGGAATACTGGTTAAATTGAGCGTGGTGTGACAGTGCGGTGTTTGCATGTGGGAGTCTTCTCTTGTCATAATGTGTTGCTCCACATTCTGCGTGCTGATCATCTTCACATGTGCAGTCTGTGCGTTTTCCCCTTTAAGAGTTCAGTGTAACCGCCCACTGTTATGATTGGCTTACGTCTTTTAACACGGGGCCTGAACTTGATGAACTCTGAAAACAATATGCAAGTAAACTAAGTAAAAACACTGTGATTATTCATTATGAATTACACTGCAATTAACGTTTTAAAAAGTAGTTTTTAAATGAAATACATTACTTACAGTTTGCGGCGTCGTTGTTGGGTCCAGAATAGTCGGCACAGCCTGATCTTTGAGCAAAAGTGTTCTGGCAAAGCCAGCATCATACTGCGATTTGTTCTCCATGAACAGTCATCCGTGAAATGTAGTGAACACACATGTAAATTTACACTGACGTGACTGGGATGTTCGCATAGAATAAACTGAATGCATTTTTCCCTGACGTCCGGATCCTTCGGCAGCGTATTCAAACATGTTGTTTTTCCACAGCCAGGAACGGCACATCTGCGTGGCATCTCAATCTTATTGTAAATAGCTACTTCTTCAGACCCACGCGCTGCATGTCGACTGAACACCTGTGGGCGTGACAACGATGCGATGATGCAAAATTAGGCATAGTTGTCTTGCGCTGGAGGTGGTCATATGCAAACGACTGGTGCTAGGTGACATCACCTTGCCCCATAGGATCCACAACGAGCCATATTTGGAGCTTGGTTAAATAAATGCTTTGTTTATAATGGGGAGGATGTGTTAAGCTATGAAACTTGCAGGAAGTTTTAATGGAACAAAGACCTCTTATATGCCAGAAGATCAAGGCAAATTTGGTTTCTCATGTCATCACCCCTTTAAGAATGGAGGCATCCACAGATGGGGACAAAATAATAAAAGATTGACTGTAGTGAACTCAGAATAGGTTAATTAACACTAAGCTGTAAAAACAGTGAAGTCATTTATTGATTATTGCAGTATGCACTTCATTAACCTGTTCTGCATCGTTTGCAATGTGGACATGAGTGATACCTCAAATCATGAGGATGGTTGACGAAAGGTTTCTTACTTCATCAGACATAGGATTTTTGCTTGGCAATAAAAAAAACCCTATAAAGTTACCATGAAAAAGGATTACTCGACTTGAGCCTGTAAGTAACCACATAGAAACCATTCAAAACACCTTAGCAACTGTATAGCAGTTCCCTAGCAACCATAAATAACACTATTTAGCAACCACACTACAATTTGCTAAAATGCTCAATACACTTTAACAAATGCATAGCAGTGCCCTAGCAACCACCCATACCACCCTCAGCAACCACATACTGTAGCAAAGTGCTAAAACATTCAAATCACCTTCAGCTTCATAACAGAGCCTTAGCAACCATCCAGAACCCCATACCAACATGCTCATAATCACTCAAAATTTCTTAGCAACTATCACCAACACCACAACAAACACTAGGAACATGTTAAAAACATTCAATACATCTTAACAACTGCTAGGCAGTGCCCTGACAACCACCCAGAACACCATAGCAACCACATAGTGTATCATTGTGCTCAACCACTGAAAACACCTTAGCAACTGCATAGCAGTGCTGTAGCAATCACACAGCAATGTGCTTATAAGTACTCAAAATACCTACCAAAATACTCGTAATCACTAACAACACCCTAAAACCCACTTGGTGACATACTATAAACACAGAATACTGTAGCGACTGTTTAACATGACCTGGCAACCACATAACAATGTGCTAAAACACTCAAAACAATGTAGCAACTCTAAAGCAGTGCCCTAGCAACCACATACTGTAGCAATGTGCTTAACCACTCAAAATACCTTAGCAACTGCATAGCAGTGCCCTACCAACCATCCAGAACACCCTAGAAATCGCATATGCTCATAACTACTCAAAATACCTTCACAACTACTTGCAACCACCACCAACACCCTAAAAGCCACTAGCAACAAACACTAAAAGCACCTTAGCAACCTCATAACATTGCCTGACAACCACCCAGAACACCCTAACAACTAGGGGTGGGCGATATAGCCTCAAAATGATATCACGATATTTCAAGAATATTTGCGATAATGATATTTATGACGATATAGAAAAAATATGGAACAATGTTTTATTGGTGATTGCAGCTGGCAGGCAGCAGCATTTATTAGTGCAAACAAAATAAAGGACATTTTCTATCATTTTCCAAGGAGCTACTGTCATTGATGACAGACTACCTAATTCGAAGTGTAAATCTATTGTCATAAGGTGGCAGCAGCAGCTGTGTGTTCGACTTGAAGCAGACCGATCGGTGTATGACGTCAAAATACCGCGAGAGTGACTTTACGGCTTATTCACATTGCATGCGTCTGCGGCACGTTATGGCTCCAACGTGGCCACCGGAGCTGATCGCAGCCACTCTAGTCAATTCTTTTGTTTACACCAGCCACACCGCGGCACATTTCAGAATCGTCTCAGAAGCGGCTCTCCGCGCTGCTTCGCTAAAGATAGGCGCCTTGCCTATTTTTGACGGTGAGAGTGTGCGCTCGAATATGCTCTAGAATTGCTCTCGCGATACTTTGATGTTATACACCGATCAGTCTGCGCAGCGCTGCTTCAAGTCGAACAACTATTTGGTTTGTGGTGATGTTGTTGTGCGCGCTAGGGAACATAAAAGTTCCATACGTCATTGTGTCGCTATATCATTGATATTGCGATATGACACTCTTTTATCATGTAAAAATGTATACCAGTATTATCGTGGATGGTATGATATGGCACACCCCTACAAACAACCATATAGCAACTTGCTAGACACTTAGCAACTGCTCCCTAGCAACCTCATAGTGTAGCAATATGCTATAGCCAGGGGTGCGCATAAGTGGTCCACTGGTCCGCATGCGAGACCAAAATAAGAAATGGGCTGTGTATACAAGTTCTGACAGCGCATTTGTGTACCGACATGGTTGACAGCTGTTAATGCACAATTACCATTTTAGATCAACAAACTGTACCGTATAAGATTT